AATCATTGCGGAGAATTTGCCATCGGTACGTATGGGTTAATAGCTAGACTTTCATGAGAGATAAGACAGAACTAAATTCTTGATATTTTCATGCAAATACTAACCACACCAAACCTTCTATTCAAAGCATCTTTATATAACTTCAATGCTTCAGATGGAAGCATTTCCTGTATGTGCCTTCAATGCCAAATTGCCAGTCGCTGTCACAAGTCGAAGAGATCTAGTACAGTAGAGTCTTCATTTACAACAACAATTCAATGTTTAGTTATCAACAATGTAGACATTACGTGAGATTTAAGTGAAATCATATTATTGCCATGCCCACCAATGGAAGCGAGAAGCGAGAAGTGGGCGTGACAATAGTATGATATTACCTGCTCATTTGCATTACTCTCTCTGATCCATATTATTTGTCTTAGATTTGTCTAGGTACGGATGTATATAGACATTTCTTAGTGTTAGATACATCCGTATCCAAATAAATCTAAGACAAGTAATATGGATCGGAGGGGGTACTACTTTATGGATTGTCGTAGCACTCCTAAAATGACTACAGAAATGCTTGCATTTATCATTTGTTAATTATATTTTTATAAAAGAAAAATTACTATGTTAACGGTTAATCAGCTAACTTACTAGAACTATACATGTGATACTGTACTATAAGTTTTTAACATGAGCTTGTTGGCACCATCGATTCACAAGATCATATCGACTATGACTAGATACTTCTGAACAGAAAGTGGTAACCAAAATCTCGATCCTTCACAAGCCCAACAGCATACATGTATGCCCCCAGTGGGCAGCTAACTTAGCACATGGTGCTCCCCACTGTGTTCTCTCTGCCTATTATACACCACAGTGCTCCCCGGTGTATTCTCTTTGCCTATACTACACCATAGTGCTACCATGATAGCTCATTTATATTATTATATACGTTCCGGGCTTAGGATGGGTGTATTTACATCACCTTTAATATGAAGATCTGATTGGTGGCCGCCATCAAGATAGGTGATATGTTGAGTAAAGTAGTTTCGTCCTTTTCAACCAAGCTTGTGTATTATGCAATAGGCTCAAAGTCATTAGGGTTTGAAATAAAATGGAAATAATGCATAAACCCAAGATAAAAGTTGACGTGTACACTTGTAGTTATGATATACACCACACTTGTTTTCTAGCTGCATTTGGAGAATTACACTTTTCCTAGTTCTAGGTTGTGTGAATTTTTCATGAATAGACAATGGAAACTGAATACAGCTAGCTAGGACCTAGAAACAATGGAAACCAGAGGTTATCTCTGGAGTGGAAAAACTGAGGGGGCTTATCTTGAGAAGAAGCAAAGATTACCGATGCATTTTTATATGAAATATGGAAAAAGTGAGGGACATGAATCTCTAAAGAATTACAAAAACATGTTGCCTCTGCTGAAGTGTTTTGCCAGGACATATGAAGTATGGTTTTCCTTCCTTTAGTCAAATATAAGCAATAATCTGTATATCTTCATATAATTGGAGAGAGAAACAGAGCACAACTTTTCCTGGACAGAATGTTATGTCAACAACGGTTGGATTCTGGTTATATCTGACAATACAGCTCTCTCTGCCGAGCAAGGGTTTTCTTGCCGGACCAGGCTAGCTAGCCCCTTAAAGCGAGTTTATTTTAGCGCCACCAAACGCACGACCCGGCCCAGCGAGGCTATAACCGATTTTGCTGATAAACCCTAAAACGACTGCAAGTGGAGATGTGCACCTTAGATTGCTTGCCATATGGATGCCGTAATAATCGTAATTGTGGTTTGTGATAGTTATTTGACTGAGAAAGACTACATTGTTGCTAGCGTTTCCCTTTTTCTGAATGTTTTGAGGCATTCAAACCGTCTGCTGAAAATGTAACAGGGCCCTTTTGCTCCAGAAATAAAATGGTTGACAGTTGCTTGGTTTCATTCAGGCAATGTATGGCACCTGTCATTATAGAGAAATGAATGATACTAACTTTGGTTGCAAGATACTCCTATATGATTTCTCACCTCACACAAATTCCTTTTTGGGGCAGCCTACTTTGAGGAGCTGCCCCAGGAACCGACTTTTTGAACTAGCGGGCTACTAGTTTTTTCTTCAATTTTGTAATTACTGCTACTTTCAGCAGACCAGATAGGCCGCACCTATTTTCCAGTGAGATTTCTTAGCACCAAAGCAAGTTCCTTTTGTGCAGCATCCATCTCACTATTATATACGGTCCAGCAAGATTTGAAAAGAAAAAAAAAGTTAACTGCAAACTTTTGTGCTGCAAGTTCCAGTTCGTGCTAGATGCATGCACCCCAAGACAGATTTGCAAATAGAATGCATAATCTGTGAAATGGTACAAATAAATGAACTGCTGGATGTGAGAAAGTAACAAACCTGCTATCAGCTTCCCTAAATAATAATCCTCTGTAAAGAAATATAAGAGCATAGGGAGTACTTTCGTATACACACCAGCATTGCAGCCAGCATGGCATCGAAGTACCGAATCATTTTGTTCCAAAAATAAACTAAATAATGTGATGAGAATAATATGGTATCTCCGAGAATCAATCCTCTTCAACTGAGGCAACCCACTAATAATTGACCCAGACCTGACCCTGGCCTCCGAGTATCAGTACAACTACATTACAAGATACTGGCACTATATATACACGGTATTTGTATATATTTCTTGTTAGAATATCACTAGCAAAATAAATAGTAGATTGATGGATAAAACAAGGGATAAGTATATTTTTCGTCCTCGAACTCTTCCCGGAGTTTAGAAATCGTCCCTCAACTCTAAATCGGAGAATTTTCGTCCCTCAACTATCAAAACCAGATAGTTTTCGTCCCTCGTGCTGCTTCGGGTGGTTTTAGTCCGGGGTGAACAGTAAAATCGAAAAAAATAGAAACAAAAATAAAAAAAATCTGAAATTTTAATGCATCAAAGATACTTTGGTGCGCAAGACACATACAAAATTTTGTGGTGTTTTGATATCCGAGCAGCTCGTGGCAAACAAAAAACTATAAATTTGTACGTCAGTCAACAGTAAATTCAAAATAAATAGCAAAAAATTTCAAAGCGGTATGAATTTTTTGGCATAAAAGAGGCTTTGGTGCCCAACGTGCGTGCAAATTTTCATGATGTTTGGGTATTGTACGAACTCGTGACAAAAAGAAACAAAATTTGGCTCAGATTTATTTCTTTAAGAAAAGTGCGCTATTTTGTGTTTTTGGCTAGAGCTCCTCGTATGTCATTGATCACAAAATTTTGCATGCATCTTGCGTACCTGAGCATCTTTGATGCCAAAATGTTTCATGTTTTTTTGATTTTTTTTGCTATTTTTTTAATTTACTGTTCACCGACGTACATATTTACAGTTTTTTGTTTGCCACGAGCTGCTTGAATGTCAAAACACCACAAAATTTTGCATAGGTCTTGTGCGCCAGATTATCTTCGATGCTGTAAAATTTCAGATTTTTTTGCTATTTTTTGATTTTATTGTTCACCGATTTACTGTTCATCTCGGACTAAAACCGCCCGAAGCGGCACGAGGGACAAAAACTATCCGGTTTTGATAGTTGAGGGACGAAAACTCTCTGGTTTAGAGTTGAGGGACGATTTCTAAACTCTCGGAAGAGTTCGAAGACGAAAAATATACTTATCCCATAAAACAAAGGTAATTCTAAATGCCAAAAGGTCTTTCTTATGTAAGTAACTGACAAGCAAGGAGGTTATAACTAGGTATTTGTTAGGATATCATGGGATCAACAGAATACTTTACTAAATGTCTCTGAAGCATTTCTTGTCTTCTTCTAACAATCAAAGAAACAAACACAAATCCAACAATATGTAGCTTAGAACATTCAAGACAGTTTCTGTCCAAAGAATTGTGGCAACCTGAAATCCAACTACATATAGTTTTGAGTGCCTACAAACTGAATGTCACCAATTATTTCACCAATGTATTCGCCATAATAATAAGCATCTAGGTCTACAAAGGAATGCAATATTATTTTTCCTAGCATATGATCCCAAATGCTGATACATGTGGCAGAAATTGGCATATGGCTCAAGAGAAGAGCTGACAAGCACACGCAAGTAGAAAGAGCAAGACAGGATGAAATTCGACTTGAAATGATATTAGGATAATTAAGCTGAAATTCCCTGGATTAGGTATTCAAAAGCATCCTGCTATATAACATACTTGGCTAGACTAAAGCACGGTGAGTTTTTGAAGAAAACATATCAACACCGCTGACCACATTAATGTGTTGCGACAAACTCAGTGACAACTAGCAACTGCAGCAGCCCTTTCTTCACCTGGAGAAAAACCAAAGTGTTCATTTGTTAGTAACCAATCATGAATGAATAGAAAATCAAAGACTCACCTATGTTACACAGTGTACGGACAAGAGGTGCGTACAAACTTATGGTCAGCTCAACAACAAAAAAAATCAACTCAACAATATAGAAAATAGCTATATCATATGCCCCCCCCCCCCACACACACACAAAGTAGAATTATATCATATTGCTGGCTATATCTCCTGAGAATACCAATGACAACAGAGTAAAGCCATCAGTTTTTTCGCACAAATTTGTTTGGTGGGGGAGGTGAATGATGAGACTTATGTTTCTAATAGTAAATAAATGGACTACAAATGCATTGCTTTCAACTTATAAAATATGAACAAGCCAAATCAGGGAGGACTTTGGAAATACAATATGTGGATCATTAGCATATCATTTATGATGGAACATGAGTCATTTTTACTTAGCATCACAACTATTTTAATTGTTTGTTTGTGTTATTAGCATGTATGAATCCCTATATCCGAACGGGTTGTAGCTTGATGGTGCATGCTACCCACATTGGCCTTGAGATAATATCCAAAGAAAAAAAATAAAATATCCAAATTTCACAAACTATATTCAGAAGATCTTCTTACCTATTGAACCATTTCAGCCCATTAGCACATCAAATCAGACAGTCATCCTAACATTTTAGCTCCATATTCAGCAGTAATAGTTGTGCCTATAAGCATAAGAAGTCAGGCAATAAATTCGACAATAAAGGAAAATGGATAAGAGAAGCCACGTGTGAGAGTTGCGAAGATGTTGTAATGTGATCAAAATAACTGACTTTAATAGATGTTCTAATTATTTGTGAGCAATAGATGCGTTATAAGTCACTTGAGACTAGCAATAGATAAACAAAAACCACTTCTGTCATAAAATGAAAGGAATATTCATAAAAACAATATACTTAGCTATCTCATAATTGACAATATAGCTGGTAAAAAGAAAAAAAAAAGAAAAAAAATACTCATGTAAACTCATTCATTGTCAAGCAACACAAAATTATGCCAAAACAATAAACTCTACCAACCAAAAGTGACACTAGGTATTATATTTCTGTTTTAAATAAATGGATGCTGATACAAGAAATTGATCATTTATGTGTTATTACAAATGTAACAAACACATGCATGAGGGGTCATTAACAAATGACAAAATCACTATTACAGAAAGCATGTATTGAATGGAAGTTGATTTGATGGGGTTAAGATTAATAGCCAGATCAAAACAGATAATAACTGATGAAAAGTTATAGCTACCTTTGAGGTTTCAAACGCATCACAACTAAGTTACTTATTTTACAGTTGATATGGTATTTTCGAGGATAGAAGACAATTGTATCCAAAAGATAATAGATACTAAAATAATATGGCTATAAGTTGGTCCATCTAAGGAGAGGGACAATTACTAAGTTTTATTACCAGAAATTACTTACTAAATGCAAGTTGTAAGTGAACATTCAAGAATAGCAATAACTATATGTGATCGATCATATCCAGAGCATAACTAGATTCGGTTACTCCTAAAATATAAAGATCAAGGATGAGCACTCACTTGGTGGATAGAAACTTGTGAAAGGATAACAGTAACTAGCAGAACCAATCCCCTTGAGTTTCTTGGATTGCATTGACTTGAGTTGAACCATATAGACATTGCCGTCGATATATAAAAACACTGCATTGTTGTCCTCATCGTGACCAACAAATTTTCCATGCAGTTCCCTACTTTTCCTAATCTTAGGAGGGAGCTCAAGAATGTTACGCAACGCAACCGTCTTCTGCCTCAACCAGATGGCAACACCCTTACTGTCCACCTTTCTTTTCCACATTTGAAGGTTATGGCAAGACAACACGATGAGACCAACAACACCATCCTCTGCCTGGATGATCTGAAAGTGGTCGATGAACCTATTATTCATACAGCGAGGCCCTCTGATCACCTCAAGGTTCTGACTGTCCAAATCAAATTGAAGTATGTTGTCTCGCCCATAGGTAGACGGCCAGTAAAGAACATTATCAACAAGGGTGCTAGGACTAGGAGACATATCAAAAATAGTATTTGTAGCCTCTGTTGAGATGATATCGCCCCAGATGCCGGTCTCCGAGCAGTAAACACAGGCGATGGGTCGATGATCCAGTTCGGACACCAAGACCACCTTGAAAGGGCACGAGTGGCAGCCGCCATGCACATGGCCCTGGCCGCCGGCAGCACAGAGCACCGCCCCGTTGAGGCAGGGGTAGCGTTCATTGAACTTGGGCGGAATAGACACCCGGTGCTGCTTGCTGGTGATAGGATCACACACAACGATCTCATCTCGCACCCAGTCTTTGACGAGGACGCGGCCGTGGCGGCAACCGAGCACTTTGGTATGCCGGGGGTTGCTGTAGCGTCCAAGGGAGAAGCGCTCCGGCGGGATGCAGTCTGGAGCTTCCCGTGGTCGTGGCCGAGCTCGTGGCCGAGCTCGAAGACGCCAAGGAGAGGTGGCTTCCCGTGGTGGGCGCGGAAGCGGGCGACGAACTTGGGGTCGGTGGCGAGGCGTCCCCACTGCTTGCGTACGGCGGATGCGCGGGGGAGGGAGGAGGGCTCCCGCGGGAGGCGGAGGAGGATCTCCATCAGCAGATCTTCGTCTTCGAGCGGGGACCGAGGCGCCGCCGGCGAGGTGCGGCGGCGGCGGCGGCTGGACATTTCGGCGCTCTCGCTCTCACAGCTGCAGATTTGGTTGGGCGTTGGGGATCGATCGAGAGTCTGAGCACAAGACGTACTAGGGTTGTCCCCCCGCAAGTTCAAATTGTCATGACCCTTCTCCTTCTTGCTGGGCCGTCCATACTTTACTGGGCTGGATACTTTTCTTTCTTTGGACCCCCCAATCCGATGTTCATACAATCCATTCGCATCGTAAATTTCTCATCGCCAATCTAGGGGTAATACTCGTACTATATTCTAAAAAAAACTGGGGGTAATACTTAGCTCAAAAATAAATCTACGGTAAGATTCCGTAAACCGGGCCATCCGGCAAAATAACTGCCGGTTTACGGGGTGGAGGTGATTTTTCCGTCGCGAATAGATCCCGTATATTCGATCACCCCGGATCTTTTTTTGGGGGTCCAGCATATTCCGGGCCGTTTCCGCTATATATATGGGAGTGGGGCAATTTTTAGATGGGCCTGAAAAACAAGAAACGGTTGACGGGAGGGAACCTTCAGCTCCCGCCACAGTCTTCCCCGAGGGGGACCTTGCCGGAACACCTCAATGTCGGCAACCACTGGACCCTAGCTGCGGCCATGCGAGCTGTCGCGGCCCCGTTAGCCAGTTGCTGCTGCTGTCGCTATAGCTAGCTGCAGCTGTTGTGGCCTGCGCTAGTTAGCTGCCGCTGCCGCCGCAAGATCGATGAGAATGGCGTCTTGCTGTGAGCTCGAGCGCCGGCACTCTGTCCATCCTGACGAGATCCTCATGGTGGAAGCAGCCGAGACTTTTTGCGGTATCCTGTCAAGCGATTTTTGCGGGGCGGGGTATACCGGATCTGCTAGAGATGCTCTAAGACGGGGTATACCAGATCTGCTAGATATGCTCTAATACTGGCATCATTAATCTGACTGCTAACGTGAGACTGATAACAAAAGTGTCAATCGGGATTTCATGAACAGTTCAGTGAGGAGGAAAGTGCCACAGGAAATACTCAAGCTAGCGGATGGAGATAAACCAATGGAACAGCTGAATAAGGTATCCAACAGATCACTGTATTTTTTACTACCATTCAAACCACAGTTCAGTCAGCTCTAGAGCAATTTTCTGACATTCACTGAGTTCAGACCAAATAGCATTTTTTGCATTCACTAGCTGTTTCCGGCGGGGCACGGTAATTTCCTGCTATTAATCGCAAACAAACATATAACTCTGCATGATACATTGATACTGTATATACGTGGGCATGAAGTATGTAACTATACATGATACTGAAGCGAACAAGTGTGTGTGTTGAACTAGTGGGGGCTCTGCTGCTTCTACCTCATGTCCCAGATTTTTTCCTTGTTCCACCATTCTTTGGTCCCGATGCATGGTATACATTGAGTATATGAAATCGCGCATGCTATGATGGTGCTAGTGCTAGGATCATTTTGCTGGAAACATGCTTTTTCAGCTATCAAATTTTGGGAACTTATTTTGTCCTTCAAAAATAAATCTCATTGGAACAAACTATAAATCTGATTATGTTTGACTTATACTACATCCTAAAAGGCTATCCATAAGGTAACATTCCATGACTAGAATTAACTCGGCATGCACGGTTCCTAAATGTGTAGAATTAACATGCCATGCACGGTGTTCTCTCTATCTAAACTATAGATATGTGTTCTCATGATAGCTTATTTATATACCTTCCCAGCTTAGGATGGATCACATTTACATGCACCTTTACTATGAAGATGGACATTTGTGTCTACCACCAAAGTTAGTGAGATGTTGAGTAAAGTGGTTTCGTCCTTCTCAACCACGCTATGTATTATGCATTTGTCTCAAGTACATAAGGGTTTGACATAAATTGAAAGTAATGCATGAACCTGCGTTATGGGGGTGATGCGTCAGAGACTCAAGAAAACAGCAGGTAAGGGCATCTCCAGCCGTTTGCCCCCCAGGAGGGGCAAAAAATCGCCTCCTGGGGGCGCACCGGCGCTAACGGCGCACGGGGGGCGTGATGCCCCCCAGTCGCGGCGCCCACGGTATTTAAAATTTTTTTAAGACGGCACAAACACGGCGCAAACACGGCACAAACATAGCAAACTTCGGCGAGTTCGTTCAAACATAAACATATTTTACAAAAAAAAAAACCGGCGGGCTACTCCCGCCGTCTCCCTCGCCGCCCGCCTTGCCGCCCTCCTCGTCGCCCGCCTCGCCGCCCGCCCAACGCGTCTACATGCCGAGGAGGCTGTAGAACCGCGTGTAGTCGTCGTCGTCGTCGTCGCTGCCGCCCCCGCCTAAGCCTCCGCCGTCCCTGCTACACCCCTCCCCCGGTTGGCGCAGCGGGTTGGAAGGCCCGGGGGCGTCGTCGTCGTCGCTGTCGAGGATCACGACGCCGTGCTCGTCCTCGCGCCCGCGCTTGCGGGCGGCGATCTCCTCCAGGGCCCGGCACTGCCGGACCGTCTCCTCACGGAGGTAGTCGTCCCGCGCCCACCGCATGGCGTCCTCGTCGGAGAAGCCGCGCCGGGCTATCTCCTCGTACTCCGCGGGGAGGCCGGGCTCCTTCTTGCGCTCGACGAGGCCGGGCTCCAGCTTGGGGTCGACGAGGACAAAACAGCCGGCGGGGCTCCGGCTTGACGGGGTGCCGATATGGACGCCGGAGCTGCGGGTGCGCGCGGCCACATGCGTGTCCTGGGGCTCCGGCTTGACGGGACGGAGGCAGGGCGAGCCGCCGGACGAAGAGGAGGACCCCCCGGTCTCCATGCGCCTCGGGGTCCAGGAGCTTCCCCGGCGGCGTGAAAAGGAAGGGGGAGCGGGGTAGTCGAGGCGCGGCGTGTTGCCGCCCTCGATGTACTCGAGGACGGCGTCCAGCGTGCGCCCTGGCACGCCCCACCATCGATGCCGGCCCGCGGAGTTTTGGTGGCCTCGAGTTGCTGGGCGTGACGGCGGCGGAAGTAGAGCTCCCACAGTGAGCTGTCGGGGGCGTACCGCGGCGCGTCCCTCGCCGCAGGCGGCAGGTTCGACCGGATGCGGGCGATCTCCGCGTGCCGCACCGCGCCAGAGGGTACCGGTGGCACCGGCACGCCGCCCGCGCTGATCCTCCACGCATCGGGCACCCGCATGTCCGGCGGGACCGGGTACTCGGCCTCGTAAAGGAGGCGAGCCTCGTCTTCATGGAGATGGCGGCGGCCGAAGCCGTTCACCGCCGCGCCGTCGCCTGGGAAACGTTCGGCCATTGGAAGGCGCCGGAAAGGTGGAGAGGAGAGGGAGGAAGGAGCGACGGCGGAGGGGAAGGAGCGACGGCGGAGGGGAAGTGTGACGAACGAGCGCACCGGGGCGCGGTATATATAGGCCGGCACGCCGCCCACACGCGTGGCACCGTGCGTACGCGTGGCGGGCGAGGCGAGGGCGAGGGACGCGCGTCGTCCGGCCTTCACTGCGCCGCCCGTGAAGCATCAATGGCGCAGGCTGACCGGCGCGGCAGCTTTGGCATTGATTCGCCGCGGGAAACGAGGCGATGAGGACGACGAAGGGCCGAGAAGCAACCCGGTCGCTGACGCATCGGGCCCGCGGTTTCTTCGCACCAAAAAACTTCGCCCGGCGCCCCCGAGCGCCCCCCAGCGCGCCGGGTTCAGGCTGGGTCCGCCGGCGCTGTTTTCGGCCCAAGCCAGCGAAAATCGGGCTCCTGGGGGCGCGACTGGGCCGTTTTTTCGGCGCCGCCGCGAAAAAATCGCCTGGGGAGGCCTTCTTGGGGGCGCGGCTGGAGATGCCCTAACAGACGGGTTCGCATATCCACGTACACAATATGTGAGTTGTTACATGTTCAGGCATTTTTGCATAGTGGCCCAAGCAACCAATTTTGCAGAAACCAGAATTATTCGTCCGCTGCAAAGCTCCTGCGCAAATAAATATAACATCTCCGTGTTTCCCTCTCCACTGGTTGTAACATGAGGTAGGAGCAACTCTATTGCTGAGGAGACCACGACGTACTAGTGTAGCCTTTCTCTTCATATCTTTCTTGTCACAGAAGTAGCACATTGCCAAAATGATATTGAACTGATGGAACATGGAATTACGCCAACCATAGTTCTGCAAATCCACCATGGGTCCGTCAAATTACATGGGTTAATAGTTAGAGTTTCTTGAGAGAAGTCATAACTAAATTCGTAATACTTTCATGCAAATACTAATCATCTCTAGCTAAATAATACACCAAAGCTTGTCCAGAAAGCTTATTTATGTACCTTCGAAGCTTCAAATGGGAGCATTTCATGTGTTTTCCTTCAATGTTATATATTGCCGGCCGGTTAATGTCACAAGTCGAATAGATCAACTACACCAAGAATCCTCCTTTACCACCAACCAGCT